GTTGTTACAATTGAAGCTCATATATATGTTCTTTTTTTAAGCCTTCTAAAACATATTTCAATTCCAGAATCCAGAATCCATAATCCAGTCGATCCCTCTCTCTTTCTTTCAGGTCTCTCCGGGCAAACTTTGTTTTAATCAGAAGGGTTGTAGATTCAAGAGAATTAGAAGTTTGTGTTGATTCAATCAAAGCAACGTTTGCAATTTTAAACCTGTTCTTTTCTAACATTTAACCCTATTCTTGCTGGGGGGGGGGGGGTCAATTTTACCCCCCCTGTAGTTTTTTTTTACATAACTCAAAAAGTATTGGTCAGAGGCTGTTGAAATTTTCTGACTTTTCCTACATACCCAAAGCCCTCCCTTTAGGCCTAAAACCGGGCTTTAATACTAACTGCCTGAGTCCTCAGGCACACTGCCTGAATGACATAAGGAAACGAATTGCATAAGTTTTGCAAAAAGAAATTGCTAATTTTTTGCAAACAACCTGTCAAAAGAAATTTGCAAGTTTTTCTTGATTAAAATTCAGGTTATTAAAAATTTAGCAAAATTTTTTGCATATTTGAAATAGCATGGTCAAGGGCTTTTCAAAAATGCATAATTTTTTCACTTTTTGGACAAATTTTTTTTTGCAATTATTTTTACAATATAACTGGATTTTGCGATAAAAAATTCAATTTTTGCAAATTTGCAAATTTTTTTGCAGATTCTAAAAGTAGAGCACAAGAGCTTTCCAATGATGTATCATTTGTCATATTTGGACATCAAACATGGGATTTAGATCGGGGGTCAAATTGACCCCCCCCCCAGCATATCCTGGTTTTCAAGTACCCCAGCAGAGATAGGGTTAATAAAAAAAATAGATTGGTCGTAGACAATATATAACCTTCAATAATATGTAACACTAATAAAAAGGCATAAATTCAATCAAATAAAAAAAAACTTGTAAAAAATCTCAAATTCTTTAACATTTCAATTCAATTCAGTTTCAGCAAAGGAATTGAGTCTTTGCCACAAACTCTGATTTTCTAATCACTGTATCTTTGGAACCAAATGTTGTAGACCTTAGATATTTCAAACTGTGAATTCTGTTAGATCAAATAATCTGAGTTTGAAATATCAAAGGTTTACAACATCGTGTTCTAAAGATATTGAGGTTTAATTCCTTTTTACTTATTATAGAATATGTTTTGGAATTTGAAGGAATAACTGGTAAAATTTTAGTTACTAAAAATTGTAAACTGGTTTAAATCTTTAGTTACGGTTTTACCTAAAATGCATTCTAGAGATTCAATATAATATTTATGCTTTAGGGATATATTTACGTCAATTGCTGTTTCTTGGTAATTTGCTAATTTTCCTAATTAGTTGCATTTTAAAATATAACAGATAATAATTCAGCAAATTCATTTCACATTTTGATGCATCTTTCCTCTCCTCTTTTTTTGACAATTTCAAACTATACCAATACATTGAAGATTTTGAGTACTCAAGTTCAGAATGCTAAACATATAGAGAATGCAGGATGAGAATGAAATTCTTTTATTCTTTTGAAAAAAATGAGGATAATCCCTGCAAAGATATGTTGTATGAAAGTTATGGAAAGTAAGGTTTTGAAAAAATGCATTTCTTTAGAAAAAAAACATCTCTGTCAGGCTAATATATTTGAATCAATCGAATACAAATACTGTTAGTCATGTATTTGTTGTATTCATTAAGCTAAATGTTTCTATAGAAATTCAGTATGCTTTGTTCTCCCATCCTGATGTTAAGGTGATTTTCCTATTTTTTCCTTTGTAAACTATACTTGTCTTGGCTGTTGGTTTGCTAGCATCCAAGTATCGTCAAAACGGCTTAACTGATCGGGCTGAAATGTTGTGTGCAGGTAGGGATGTTAACGTTTTCATTTTTCAGAAAAACGATCGTTTCGTTATGAAAACGACGATGAAAAATCGAAAACGAAACGATCGTTTTTAAAAACGATAGTTTTTCTTTAAAAGTTCGTTTTTTAAAAATGGTCGTTTTTAAAACGATCGTTTTTCAAAATGCTCGTTTTTCAAAACGATCGTTTTTCAAAACGATCGTTTTTATAAATTTCGTCGTTTCGTTAACGATCGTTAACATAATTGTCAATAATTTTTTTCAAAAACGATCGTTTTTTGAAAAACAATCGTATAAAAAACGGTCGAAAATCGTTTTAATAAAAATAATCGTTTTCAAAAACGATCGCTATTCGTTTTCTAAAAGTTCAAAACGAGTGGGTCGTTTTTAAAAACGATCGTTTTTTTCCGAAAACGAAACGATCGTTTTTGAAAACAAAACAAAAAACGATCGTTTAACGATCGTTTAACGATCGTTTACAAAAACGATTAACAACCCTATGTGCAGGACCTCACATTACCCAAATAATATAAAACATATAATCAAAACTTCTAAAAAAATGCCTCCAAAAAATTGCAATTTTCGTAAATATTTGTTTGTTATAGTTTTATGCTAAGTTAGAAGTTGAAATGGAAGAAGCGCCCTATAACCCTAGTAAATATTTGTCTCCTAAGATTGTTAAAATAAATTTATTATTTCGGATCAAAAATACAAAATACAAAAATACAAAATCAAAGTTTTAATGTCTGCCTGACTTAGATTTTTTATAAATCTAATTAGATATTAGTTGGCAAAGTTGTTTAACATCTACAAGGAAGACAAAGGTATACGAATGCACTTTTTCAGACATACTAATGATGAACCATTGATAATGAATAAGATTTTACTAATAATGATGACCACAGTGAAAACGCACATTCATCACAACATATATTTATATAACATATTTGTAAAACAAGCAAACAATAGTATTGAACTATTTCCGACAATCAAACCTTTAAAAAGTAGGAAAAAGAATCGTTTTGAAAGAAAAAAATATTTTTTTTTGTTTTGAGCAAAAACGAAAACTGATTTTAAATTAAAATGAAAAATATCTGTAAAGTTTTAAGCTGATGGCCAAATTTGAAAAGTAGTTAATAATGGTAAAAATAGTCTTAGATCGCCACTGCAGTCACCTTGGTTATTCTTATATTTAAATTAACGGATTTCGGATTTGTCAATATTTAATCTTAAATCTTTTTCTAGATACGAAGAAGGTTAGAGAAGACCAATTTTATCGAGTTCATGTATTTACAATCGAAAATAGTTTCGGTATTTCTATGTTTATTTGGAGACCTTTGTAATTAAAGACAGGGTTTGAAAACTGTTTGATGAATATTAAAAATATATTCATATTTGGACTCTTTCACAACAAGAATAATCTTCAACTTTAAAATATTTGAAATATTTTTTTTTCAAATCATAGAAACAGAATCCGTGAAAAAATGTTGAATAATATCAGTATTAATGTTGTAATAAAGTACATCAGCCATAATTTGAATTAATTATATTCACATCGCTGGGTCTCTTTGTAACCATGTAAACACTGAGACATGGATTTACAGTGGAGCTCAAATTTTTTTTAAATGATAATTTAGAATCTGAAAATTAAGGATTCTTAACATTATTTGTTAAAATTGCGATGTTTGTTAGCATAGAAAAAGTATTCAAATTAGAAACAAATAAACTTTAAATTTAATAAAGGACGGTCAGAAGAAAATCGTTAAAATTAGTCTCTTTCACACAAAATTGCAATTAAGTACTCTGCAAACTTTTGCAACGATTTCCACATTTTTGCGCGAAAATAAATTTTGCGGAAACAAGCGCAAACGATGCGAACTCCGTGTAAAAAAAAATCGAGCAAAATCATCCAGCATTAGAAGTTTTCTTATATTTTATATTAATTTTAACTTCTTGTTAATCCATGCCAATTTTTTGCGCAATCTTTGAGCGGAATTTGCGTTAAACTTCTCCGTCGCAAATTCCGCATTTTTGCGCAATACAGATTAACGTGAAATTCGGCGGAAAATGCGGAATTTTTTTTGCACAATACGAAAATTGTGGAATTTGCGACGGAAGAAAAAATTTGCTCGCAACAATTTGTCCGCTGGAAACCCTACCCCCAATAGATGAGACTGCAGAAAAAAACTGTTAAGAAATCAAATTGTCTATTTACTTGAATTCATGTATGATTCCTTAAAACTTTTTTATGTGCCCAATCAATACAATAAAAAGACTATCTTTAAGTTACGAGGACTTAATTTAACCTCAGAATTGTCATATTTAGAGAGCTTTAGGTCGTCTTTACGGTCTCACACTTTCAGGGTAATCAGAAACCACACACAAATTATCTATAAACTTTGCGTTTTTTTTCTACAGTATGAAGAACCAGAAAACTTTGGTTTAGGAAGACGACTTTCAGACTCGATTTTTTTCAATGAACATGAGACACTGCACAGGAATTTTCCAGATTAAAAAGACCCATGTCACTCAACATTAATACACCTAATTATAGCTTTAATGTCGTCTTTCTATTACAGAGTTGTCTGGTTCTCACATCTTCGTAGTTTTAACCATATGCTTTTTTATTCAGAGCCCGCGATTTAAAAACTTCGGCTCAAGCCGTAATTCCTAAAACTCGACTTTAAGACCCAATCTTCGACCCAACTCTGACGACAGCTTGTGTAACGTGATTGACAGCTGCAAGATCTTCGGTTCGACTTAAGGAGTTAGGCCCTAAGAAAATAAAACCGACCTTGATTGGTTTTAGTGGAGAATAAGGCTCAATGTTGAATATTGTTCTCATAAAAACCCGGAATGCTTAAATTCCAACCATGAAAATCCGCCAAAAAGAATATTAAACCGGTTTTTTAAACTCAAATCTGTGGAAAATAAGATGCAGCTTGAATCCGAAAGCTCAAGCCGTAAATAAGACCTAACGACAGCTTAGACCCGAGCCGTATTTTCCAGATTTTTTTAAATCGCGGGCTCAGATCATGTTCACAAATTAAAACACAAAAATGCTTGTGATGGTATATTATTGGTTAATATTTGTTCACACTTCACACTTTAAAAGTAGAATATTAAATATAATCAAAAATTTATTTCAATACATCTATTAATGAACGTACAATTGGCCCTTCCAAACCTGTGATTAATTAAAAATAGAAACACATTGCGAGCAAAATGTAAATAAGATAAAACCAGTTTTAGAGATTGTTTAGGTGATACGATCAGGGAGTTTTTGGTTGAGATGGAACTCGATATCCTCAACGGAAACTTTTAAATTTTAAAGTTTATCCTGTTAGATTAATGCAAATTCAAATCCTGTATTTTAAGGGTAAAGATTTTTTTCGGACTTCTCATTTTGTACAGTCCTATAATTTTATCATAAAGGGGAGGTTTAAGACGATTAAATCTCCTTAGGAGAGAAGCGACTTAGCTCTATCTGTTCAATCAAAAGTTCCTGTCTCAGAGTAAAGTTTACGCAGGATAAATATTTGACAGATAGGAGAAGAGATCTATAGATTGTACTATGCACGCAAATTGTTGTGCATGATTAACTCAGAGATAATGAAATTGCGTTTTTTCCACAAACTTAAATATTCGATTCACAATTTCTTTTCAACCTGATGGTTAAAACCTTTGATATTTCAAACTTAAATTAGTTGATCTTACATAATTCATTGTTTGGAATATTTAAGGTCTTCGGCGCTGGGCTGCAAAGATAAACTATTAGATTAGAAGTTTTGAGTTTGCGGCAAAAACTCAATTTATTTTGTAAAATATAAAAAGTGTAACTTTTACGCACACCATTTTTGGAACTAGCACAATTATGATATCTCTTGTCTCATCTTTTATTTCTATGATACTGGGTGGCAAACATGTTCAGGGCAAATCTTTTTAATACATTTTGTATGAATCTAGTATTAAGTTTAGTAGATCAATATCAAATTGTGTTGAAAAGTAAGGATCTATACTTTAACTAAAGAGTATTTTGATCAAATATGAAAAGCATTGTTGTACAATTTAATTTTATTAAAGAAGGGGTTCCAGTCACGTGTTGTACAAGTGAAAACAGAGATGCAGTGAAGTACATGGAAACTTTGATCTAAGAATTACATGTTTGTCAGTTCACAGTGTACAAGCAATTTTAATTGACATTATCACAGCCGATCATTTTACAATAAAATTTAAACGCAAGTGTTTGGTAGCAACATATATGTATGCAGGAATATGAAAACAGTTAATGCGCAACATCATGCACAGTGCACACAAACGTGTACGCAATTATGTACAGCATTAATTACATTATCATGCACTTCATAATGTACACTTTCATGAACAGTATAATTTACCATGTCATGTACACAATCATGTACAAGTGATTAAACATCATCATGTATAATATCATGTATAAAGGTATGTACATATTAGTGTAAAGATCATGTACGAGTAAATGTACATATATCAATATGTACAATATCATATACACCAAGAAGTGCACCTAATGTACACCATTATTCACAAATTCATGTACACCACTAAGGACACAATTAACGTACATGGTACATAAAGCGGTTACAAAGCATTCAGCCGTGGTAAATTGGCTAAAGCAGTGAGAAATATTTCATTGTCGGAGAAATCAAACTTTTTAAACTATTTTTGTTTTAAAGCAATATTCATGAAAAGCAGTGAAATTGTTAACTAGTTAAACCAGTATATAACAAAATTTAAAGGCAAAAAAACACTAGCTGAAAAGGGTGGTAGGGGTTTTAATGGACGGTCTTTATTTGAGTTTCTCCCAATGTTTATAAAGATCATTGTAGCACAAATAGCAAGCATGCGTAAACACATCTATATCTTTAATTTGAACATTTAATACAGTGTGAAAACAGAAAACTAACGTTGATTTATGCTTTATTTTTTCAATTTGGACTTTGAAGGGAGAACTGTACAAGCTTGATTATAAAATACCCAGTATAACTTTTTATTAGTTCCACGTAATCCGTATGCATATTAATGCAACATTAATTATTTCCTTTCTTCCAATAAAATCTGTTCAAGTCGTTTCGTTTGATTTAAATATATGTGTTAAAAGAATATATTTGCAATCAAAAATTTTGCTGATATTGGAGCGTTGTCTTTTTAAAAATTGAATGACATGACAAGAACAAATTGAAGGTTCGTTATTATTACAAAGGAATTGATTACTTGTGTTATCCCTATATCTTTGCAACCTGATGATTACGGCAATTAGATAAATAAAATAGGTCCTAAATTTAAGGTAACTAAATCTTGTTTACCCTGTGTACAGCTTGGATTTACAAAGCACCTCTTTGTATCAAAGTACAGTGATTCCAACCCATATTTAACTGTACATTGTACTGCTGCAGTGTACAACAAAATGGCAGTTTACTGTTTCTTCTTTCTTGGCGGCTTTAATATCGCAAACAACTTGTAGAAGGTTAGGAATTAGGGGGGAAGTTATAGAATGGCACTACATTTTTTTGTAAACAAATTGTTTATACACTCCAATACCTGGTATAGATTTAGTAACTTTTCACCATTTTATAAGATTTAATTTAACAGATTAATAAACTAAGATCAACCATATGACATGTGTTCAGATCAGGGCTGAAATTTAGAATGAGCAGAACAATTTAATAAATAAACGTGGCAAGATCAAGCAAAATAGCCAGAAGTATAAAAATCTCTCTAGATTTAAACTCAAAACATGTACCCCCACTCATATCTTGAGAACTATCTCTTCATTTCTTTACAATTTGAATAATTTGAGATTCGATATAAATCTGGCTGTACAACATTCAGAGTGAATTTAATAATGTAAATAATTTCCAATAAGTTTGAACTATTGTGGTCTGGTTAACTTCTGTAGAGAATCTAGACTGGTTGCTAGAACTGAGCATTCTCGTGCTAGACTATCTACTTCCTTCTGAACTTCTTCAGTAGTTACATCAACTTCAGTCAGTTCCTTCTAAACAATAATCCCACTCAAATTAGATTCTTTGCCAATTAAATTTTTTTTTGGAAAATTCATTTAATTTCTGCATCCATTTCATTGGGGAGTTTTTTTTAATTACAACAATGATTTCTTTAACTTAAAAAGAATCTTTGGCAATTACATTAATTGCCATAATTGTCATAATGAAACCCCCTAAAAGTGTTATTTTTATCTTACATGGAATAATTCTTTATCAGTTTTTTTTACATCCAACTTTTTCGGAACTAAATTGAATTTTGTTAACTGATAATAACAGTGCAAAATTGAAAGGTAAAAATAATTTTCTAATCGCTGGCCGTGAATATCATTAATGGATTTTCAATATTTTCAATCATACTTTTTTGTGATATCAGTTAAAATTATGAAATTTGTTTTTAGTTATTTTTGTTTTCATAATTGAATGCATAACACGAAGTCAATTCAAATACGCAACCAGTATATTAAATCTAGGGCTAGACAAATTTAGCAAACAATGAAAAAAAATTCTTTTTATACCTTGAGTTCTGTAATTTGAGTTTCCCGTTTGACCCGACACGAAGCAGCATACCCTCTATTCTTCATTGTTCTTCTCGTAGTTTTCATCAGTTTTATTTGTTCTCGAGTCAAACCCTTAGCCTGATAAACATATTTATTCTAAGGGACTGTTCGCTAAAAAAAGAGGTAACTGAATTTCATATCTGTACAGAGACCTTGACTAAAACTGTGCTCCACAGACCCCAAAAATGCAAGACATAAACATCCGGCTTCGCACTTATAAGTGCTATACTATACAGCTAACCCTAATGTTGAGAATCGTTTTTTCAAATCTGACAAAAACATAAAGGTTCTGTAAATAAAAAAGAATCCAAAGAAATCTAATAAGGGGCTTTACATACATTATGCATACAATATTGTATATCAAATCTTAAAAATTATATTTTCATTCTTTTCTTTAATTTATCAAAGACAATTTATATAATTGTAAAACTGAAATACAGAAGGTTTATAACGATATAATTAAGTCTCAAATTTGAGTAAAATTAGCTGGATAAATTTCGAACAGTTTTTACCCATTTGTTTGTACGAGATTTTGAATTAAAAATGTCATCTTTATCTACGAATAATGAGGTCTAAAGCAAATCTGTTTGAAATCTTAAATTGAATAATCAGAAAGCACGATAAAATTTTATTGCAAATCCTTGCATTAATTATTTACATAGCTAATCTTATCTATGCTTTCATGACTAATTAAATTTGAATTTCTAAGCATAAAAATCATACTTCAGATAGATTTAGAGATACAACCTATCTTACTTCCAGTCCCGTAAGACTGAACACCAACAATATTTCCTTGATCGAAATCTACTATTTCTCGAATTCATCAAAATGATTTCTAATATTCATGGCCACCAGTAGATCAAGTTTTAACCGAGTTTTAAACAATACCCAGAAAAATGTTTAATATTAAAAATACTAACATGGTTTAAGAAAAATTATATTTAAAGTATTGTGGTGACTTTTTATCTGCCTTTAAAGGGAGTGTTCGCGAAAAATGAAAGGTGGTATAGATTTAGTGCGATAAAAAAGCGCTTTTGATCGCTACTAATCTTATTTCTATCTGTTGCGTCTGTAAGGAGAAAATTGTTAAAGACGTCTCATACCGAAGAACGTAGTTTCCATACAAATTCAGAAAATTGCAACTACGACTTAGACCGTAAAAAAATCAATTTAATTTCAAACAAATCATTCAGATATTACAACCTATAGTCATCGACTATCTTTCGACACATTTGTATATAGTTTATATTTTAAAATATTTTTTAATTAATTTGTTTATTTCTCTTGTCGCTTGCGCAACTATCTAAGAATGCCGCACACCACTCACAATTTTCGAAATCCATTGAAAACGTTTTATAAAAAAATAGAATATTAAAAAATATTCTAAAATATAAACTATATACAAATGTGGCGAAAGATAATCGATGACTGTAGGTTGTAATATCTAAATGATTTGTTTGAAATTAAATTGATTTTTTACGGTCTAAGTCGTATGGTGCAATTTTCTCAATTTGTATGGATACCACGTTCTTCGGTATGAGGCGTCTTTAACAATTTTCTCCTTGCAGACGCAACAGATAGAAATAAGATTAGTAGCGATCAAAAGCGCTTTTTTATCGCATTAAGCCTATACCTCCTTTCATTTTTCGCGAACTCTCCCTTTAAAGATGATTTCCTTTGCCACCAAAATGCAGGTTTATCAAAATAATTATTTTTTTTGGATAAGAAAAAGTTCTCACCACCTTAAGAGTCTTGTTCAGGTGCCTGGTCGGCATCATGATCAACTCTGCTGTTGTCATGTTCAACTGCTCCAGGATCTTCACGTTTATATCCCCGGGCTGTCCACCAGGGTTAGAATAGTGGCCTAACAAGTAAGTGTTCAGGTATTTTTAAAGGGTATGTTGAAACTAGAGTGTGTAGTGTGTAGTTGAGGGGGTTAAGCAAGAGTTAAATCTACATTTTAATGTGACGTAAAAGGACCTGAGGAGGCTAGATTTATCAAAACAAAAACAGAGATTGTAAAAAAATGTGTGGAAGAAAGGAATCCCGGGGCTTTTTACCAAATTTTGTTCTTATAGCATTTAACCAGATTCTTGGCGGTCGTACAATATCGTAGTTAAATTTGCGAAAACCTTTTCCTCCGTACCTTTAGTATATATTTAAATTACACACATTGAATTGGACTACCAAGAAAAGTTTTGAGAACACGTTATATCTTTATGGCTATTTTAACTAAAACCGTTCCGAGAAGGTCAAAAACGAAGAAACTGATAATTTCCATCAAACTTCAATTCCTATATCTTTGCAACCTAATGGTGTAATCTTAGATATCTTAAAATTTGTATAATTCAAAATCCTACGTAAGAAGAGTGAACAGATTTAGATTCGAAAAATTTCAATTTATTTAATCATTTTTTTTTCTCCAAAGTCTTTGCCACAAACTCTTATTTTCTAATCCCTATTTATTTGAAACACAATGTAGTAGACCATAGATATGTTTTTACTAAAAACTCTGTTGGATTAAATAATCTAATTTTTAAATATCAAAGGTTCACACCATCAGGTTGCAAAGAAATAGGGACTAGAAAATTTGAGTTTGTAGCAAAGACTCAATTCCTTTATTTTCTCCAAAATAATTTAATCGAAACCGACAACTTTTAGTTTTGCTTTTCTAGACGAAACATTCAAAAACATAAGATGAAACTAGTTTTTCTAATTTGTAATATCCACTTACCATGGTTAGATAAATGCATGAAAGAATCCTGAAAAACAGCGCAATTAATAATCATCAATCAAATATATGAATTTCTAAAGTTTAATTAGAGTACAAAAAAAGATAGGGATGATTATACAACAGTGTTTCGGTGTTTTTTTCATATATTTAGACAAAACAATAACCAGTTTTATTAGTCGAATAGATAATATATATAATTTAAAAACTTTGTCAAAAATCACTCATCAAATCTTATTTAATTTTAGGTTTCACTTATTGACCTCAACCCCTTTTTACCCCTACCCAAGTCTATAGCTTTACCTGCATGTTAGATATTTGTTGTTGATGCCAGCCTACCCCCATCCCGCTTCCATCCCCCATACCTCCTCCGCCCCCTCCACTCAACCCTGAGATCATTCCTCCGCCCATACCGGAGGTAACCGTCTCCGGGATATGAAAGGATCTGGGAGGGTTAGAGTGTGCCTGTATCCTAGGAATACCATTATTATAATGTTCAGGTCTGGTATTCTCAGGAGCTGAGTTGAGTCTGGTATCCTGGTGGGGCGGGTAGGACGAGTATCCGGTAGTCCAGGGACGAGAACTGTATCCGCCTCTGATATTGTCCGGACTAGAGCTGATATCACTGGGTGGACTGGGACTATGTCCGTGATAACCCTGGTTAAGGTTGGATCGGAACAAAGGATGTGTGTACTGAAACAAATCATAAAATAATTTTTACAGTGAGAACCAGAAAACTGTGGAATAGGAAGACAATATTAAAGTAATTGTAAAGTGCATTTGATGTTGTTGTTGTAAAGCAAATAGTTTTATACCAGAAGCTTAGAAATTAACTTATTAAGTAAAATGTGTCTCATATCCATTGGACTATTTAAAGTAATAAATTGAGTCTAAACGTCGTCTTCCTATTCTAGAAATTGTTGGTTCTTATGTAAAGGAAAATATGTTTTAAACTGCATTTGTTATTCCTGAGCTGAAAATTTAGAATGGGTTCTCCTTAATCCCGATCGGTTAATTAATCTGGAGATTAATAACAAGAGGAGAACAAGCAATAATCAATCTCGAGATTAAGAAAAAGTGAGGATCAAGCATTAATCCCGATATCCACCATTCAAAAGTTCCCAGCTCTGAACTGAAAACTTTAGAAGGAAGGATATCGAGATTAATTCTTAAACTACTGGTTTTACTAAACCCGAGATTTTGTTAATACGCTTTCGATATCCAAGAAAGAATTTAAAAATTCAACCAATAAGCTTGTCAAGTTTAATGCGCTCTTTAATTGTTGAAAAAACCGGTTATTATTTTTAGCGCATTTCTGGTGTTGATAGTGTCATATCAAAAGGACTTTAGTCATCAAATGTGATAAAATTTGTTTTCCAATAAATTCATAAAATTCATAAAAAGAGAGGATTAAGAAGAAAATCAAAAATGTGTCAGATTAAGTAATCGGGATTAAGGATATCTCATTCTGAAATTTTCAGCTATGATCCTTTAAATTGCACAGTAGTTGTACCTGGTCATGGTATGGGTTGGATATATGTGGACTAAAGAATGGAAACCCTCCTGGCCCACTACCACACTGTTGTGCTGGACTCATCATCTCAAACCTAAACAATTTAAATAAATACAGTGGTCATCCCAAACTACAAAAAAAGAAGACGGCAGAAAATTAGTGTTTTAATAACAAACAGTTGTTTAAATACAGTGGATTGAATCGATAAAATAAAGACGTTTTTTTATTTAAGATTGGATTGTTAGCAAGTCTTTTTCGAATTACAAACTTACAAGTAATCAAAGGGTAGATTTTTTAATTGACAACTTCTCTTGACTTCTCTGTATATGTGTATTCATGCTGTTTAACAGCTTGATATGAATAAAAATTGAAATCGAAAGTCGTCTTCATTGTATTGATATAATCGCCTACAACTGTATACCTAAAAAGTCGTCTTTCTTTTCCAGTAAATTCGGAGAACCGTATTTTTATTACAAATAGCTTATACTTGCATTACTTACATTGACTTATAAAGATAAAAAGTTAAAAATAACAATATTAATAATACTAGTAATAATAAGTTAACCGACAATGTATATGAACTACACCTGTTATATCAAGATAATTATAAGCAATCATAAAATTTTAATTTAAAAACCAAAAACAAAGAAGTTTTAAAACTTTTAAATTATAAATCCGAGATCTGTCGCTTTAAATTAGCGACTTTTTCAATATCTGTCTGTCTGTCTGCTGTAATTTTTATTTGTCAAGGTTTTGCATGATAATAAGCAACATCCACGGTGCTAGATAAATATAAATATTCCTCAACTGTACCCAAATGAGTTATCGAATTTAAAAACAAAGATTTATATTCTGTAGATAAAAAATATATCAAGTTTTAAAACAAATTTTTAAAAATCATTAGCGCCCTTTAACCCTATAATGGCTGGGGGGTCTGAATCTATGTATAGCCTGGGGGGGGGCGTTTGGCGTCCCCCCCTAGAAAAAGCCCTTAGGGAATATGGTATAGGGTTGAAATGCATGTTCATAGCCCAATTTTTCAAGGCTTGCTTGTAATAAAAAAAATTGACCGATAACTTTAATAGTTTGGGCGCTAGGGAGGGTTGAAAAAAATGCCTAAAAAAGGGTTAAAAAAATGAAAAATATTTTTTTGGGGTTTTAAACAAATCTCAAAGTGTGACGCATGTTTCTAAATGCTATTTTAGATTTTTTCACAGACCGAACTTTTTTTCCGCCCTTTACCCTACCCTATGAATTAAAAAAATGTTAACAAAAGATCCTTTAAATTACTATCCATTAAAAGTCACAAAATTTCACGGTGATAGTGTCAAAAATGAGAGTGCTACAAAAAACTACAGGGGGGGGGGGGGCCTGTTTCGTAACGTTAAAGTCGGTCTGATATCAATAGTTCGTATAACTATGTATTGCAATGTATTAAAAGAGAAGAAATAAATGTTTTTAATCTCAATAAAGAATAAAGATGATGAAGAAGGTATGTTTAAAGGGACTGTAAGCGTAATTTAACCCTCCACAGAAAGATGACAATGCCCGATTCACACCGGTACCCTTGAAACATTGGTCTGATCAATAACATGTGAGATATTGATGTTTTTCTAGGTTTAAAAGGGGAGGAAGGCCAGCCACAACACTTTCTAATCCGAGCCACATTCTCCTCATTTTCTCGCCCGAACCACCTCAAAATCCTCGTCCTTCCAATATATTTTTTTTTTAAAATTAGAATCCTCTTGTCAAGACTCCGACACAAATTAAAGTTGAGTTGGCCCTCTATCTCCGGACACTTGGTTGGAGTTCTCTGCTACCTCTGTCGATCTCCCAGAGTAGCCCCTACCTCTACGTAAACCAGATCTACTGCAGCTACATCTTAGTTGTTTTCCTTCACTCCGATACCTCTGACGGATGGACCCTGAACAGGATTACTGCATCCTCTCACTGTATCCCTGATATGATAATGCTCCTCCTCTAGATCAAAAATGCAGGTACTAATCTAGGTTATGATCCATGAGATCTATGTGAGAAAGTTGCTACTTAAAAAAGGATATTTAAAGAGACATGTGAAAACATTGATATATAATTCATACTTGATCAGACAAAGCTTGTAAGGGTACCAATGTGAATCGGACATATCCATCTTTACATAGAGAGTCACTTAAAATCACGCTTTCAGTCCCTTTAACTGAGGCGAAGTAAAATCCCAGTATGAACACTATTTTAGCACCGATATTTGAGCAAATAAAGCAATTGCACGCCAAGCTAATGGCAATTAAACCCTTCTAAATCAAAAGGAAGAAACTTTTACCTTTTAAAGAATTGTCTTTTAACCCTAGCTATCACGACTGGGGGGGGGGGTCCACTAGGGACATGTATCCCATATGTATGTAGTACAAATATCAATTCTAAGGGAAAAATTATGGGGGGGACACCCCCCCCCAATCTATATTAGACGAAAATAGCCCAATCAGGATAGGGTTAAAATTTTCTCTTTTTACACTTTTTATAAAAATAACAGCTGATTGAAAAGCGAGGGAAAAATACAGCATTACAAACAGAAAATAAGTAGGATGCATATCTTAAAAGAGCTTAAGGAATGCATTCGCGGGAAGAAGGGGAGGAGGAGTGGGGTGGGGGGAGTAGTGAAGTAGAGAGGGATGGGAGTAGTGAAGTAGAGAGGGGGGGGGGGGGGAGAATTTGGGAAGTAGGGAGAGAAGGTTGCAAAATAAAATATATTTTGTTCACATAGAAATAAAACTGTTTAAGGTTTTTGACGAAGTAAACATGTTTATTACAGGAATAGGATTCAAACATTTAAAAAAAAAATTTTAGGTGTGAGTGTCAGATGGATAGATAAACAGATAAATCATGCTTCAAATAAGATAAACAAATTGAAAAAAAAGAATCAACTAATTGTTTAACTAAATCTATTATCTAAATTTGAAATAGCAGAAAATTAACTTTTGATTTGAAAATATTTTTTTTCTTTAAGGTTATTATAAAATAATGCATTATCGGGAAAATTTTGGCATTTTCTTAGAAGTTACTGAATACCCTTATTTTTTATGTAAAAGGTATTTTTTTTGCTTCTAAAATCTTAAAATTTTACTTATCATCGCATTTGACAATTTCAAAACTGTGAGTACATTTTGGTAACATTTTCCTAACAAAAGGTTTTTTTTTGAAAATCTCATTGCAATATTTTTACTCTTCTTATTTTGAGATTAAGAGGCGTAATTCTATCTGATGTGAGAAGCTATTATGAAACCTGTAAACACTGTTTTCATCATATTTTGAATAATATTTTTATGAACGTTTTATATTTTAATCCCTTTTATGTATATAAAACTTGCCTTTATAACGTATAAGAATCAGAGCATGAAACTATTAAATAAAAGGTAAAAGTTAAACTGCAATGAGATAATCTCTAAGTATGTCATGTTTTGCCTTATATAGTCTGTATGTTTATTGTATAGCTTGCTCTTTGATATGAACTGGCGTGTACAAGTAAAAAAAACTCATTCAATTTTTGCTCCATTAGATAGACACCTAAAACTGGAGGTGTTAAAGGGACTGTCAAGGAAAAATGAAAGGAGGTATAGGCTAAAAGCTAATCGCGACCCATGAAAGTTATATCTGATGTTCCTGTCTAAAGAAATTGATATAAAACTGTGTCAAATTTATACGAAAATTCATATATAAACAATTTTGTATCAAAAAAGTAGGTTTAAACAGATCATATTCAGCAAATACGCAACCAATCGGAAAACAAATATATCCCAGAGAAACTTAAACAATTATTATTTATAATTTTTATTTTTAATAGATATAATTTTACGTATTACGTCAACAGAACTTTCGCCAATGAGAGTGCAGTATACTGATCACGTTATACAGACAGAGACACGTGACCAGTATACTGCACTCTCATTGGTGGTAGTTCTGCTGCATATATATGAATTTTCGTATAAAGGAATTGAGTCTTTGCCACAAACTCAAATTTTCTAATCCCTATATATATGGAACCTGATATTGTAGACTTTTGATATTTCAAACTAAGATAATTTGATGCAACAGAACTCATAGTTTGAAATATCTAAGGTCTATGACATTGGGTTGCAGAGATATAGGAATTAGAAAATCAGAATTTGTGAAAAAGACTCAATTCCTTTGACACAGTCTTATATTATTTTTTCGAGACAGGAACACCAGATAGTACTTTCATGGATCGCGATCAAGAGCTAAAGTGAATAGCATTCAGCCTGTACCCCCATTTAATTTTTCCTTTACAGTCCCTTTAAGGAAAAAAAGTACTTATAACGCCTCCAGAAGTACAAAACTATTTTAATTGATTTGTTTGAAAGTTAATCGTATTTGTTTGACTGGATCGAAGGAAGAAAAAGCCTAGATGTTGGATATTTTGCAAGCTCTGACACGGTTTATTTGAAATATTGCTCGAACCACCGGAGAATTCGCAACAAGCTGTCCCAAATTAGAGGATGAATTTCTATTTTACCTGCATTAAAATGCATTTAACTGCATTGCTTGAGTTAATAGTCGGATATAAAGTTTTTAGGGTTTAATGCAATCTCGAGATATTTCAACAATTGGGGTAATTTATAGCTGCAATTTCAGAAAAGAATTGTGATGTTGTAGAAGTACTCTTTAGAATACTTTATACAGGTTTACTAAAGAATTGCGTCTGTATAGATATATTTATCTGTATATTTCATTTAATTAAAAAAATGAGCTTTCTAATGGGATCAATTGTTCAGAATTTTAAAAATCCGGAAAAATTAACTATCCCCGATAGTTAACAAAGATAAAGACAAATTTGTTTTAATTTTACCATACAAAATTTTAACATTTTGGTTTTTATTTTAAATTTTTAATTCACTTTTTCCATAATTTTTAAAAAAAAACATAAATAGTATGCTTTAAAATATCTGTCTTTTCCGAAAAACAAAATGTTGAAACGTTTCGGAGAAAAAATAAAAAGCACATTTTTATCTTGTATTTATATCTTTATTTTTTATGCAAATGCTTTAAAGGAAAAATACTTTAATACAAAGTCTTCATTATTTT